TTAACACTGCAACGGTTTCAGTATAACGTCGTTTGAAATACATGTGTTCATCAAATTATTGTTATATTTATATAAATTTCATATAAAAGTATGTAATTTAAAAAGTGTTTCACTTAACGTTTTTTTCGGTTAACGTTGTGTTTTCCAGGAACCTAACCTCGACGTTAAACGAGGACTTACTGTATATTCTAATGGCATACATTCATACTCATAAAAATGTTCTAAACAGGCATTGAGTAATACAGATAATAGTTCTTATTGATTTTATATTCATCGATATTTTTTCTACATGTATCTAGATTATGTAAAAATAAATGCTATTCATCAATAAATCATTAATAAAATTATAATTACGACTAATTTTTATTAAATCAAAAATTAACTGGTTAAGAACTTCTACTATGAAGTATAATAAACAATTTTAAAATAAGAAGATATTGATTAATGATTATAATAATACAAGATGTGGTATAGTTAATGAAGTTTTTAGGTAACAATAAATTGAAACAGCTATAGCCTAGTGGTTTGTCATGAGAAATCATTTAGATATCAAAAGTTAAATAATAAATATACATGAAAAAAATTCAAACCTAAGACCCTATATGCACACACTTATAACACTATTACACTAGGCCAGCATAATATTATACATTTATACCTATAGGTGTGTAATGTGTATGTGCATTTTACTATTTTATTTGTTATTTACAAGTATATATAGAACATAATATAACGTATAATAGGCTCCACTAAACTAGCTTGTATTAGTAGCTATACATGTAGCCTATGAGTACTATTTTTTTTTAATACAATCGGTTTATGACAAAGAGTAGATGAGGAAAAATTATGACAATGTAAAAACATAAACATGATATCTTAGCAATTATTATCATACAATTTTAATGTTGAGAGTATTTTATTAAACATATGACTTAAATATCAAAATAATTCGTACATAATTTGATACAATATGTTTAGTGTATATTTATATTACTTCACAGCTTTCATTTGCCAAAGACCATCATTCAAATAGTGACAGTTTTCAATGCCAACTCCTTTATTCACTTTTAATCTAAAATAAATATCAAAAAATACTTTTATAAAATTACCATGATAAAATGTATTAACTAAAAACTTACATATCATCTGTAGAAAGACTAGTTATTCCAATGGCCAGAGCATGCTGTTTGCCTTCTGCCATTACAGCCTAAATAATTTATAGTTAAAGAAAATACTAGTAAAATTACACAAGAGATTATTTGAATAATAATAATAATAATTCATAATTATGAATTTTAGTAAATCAAAACATCAATATTATATTTAATTTAAAAATATGCAATTTAAAGGATACCACAATTGTATTTTGTGGAACAGGTTCAATTTTTGCTCCGGGGGATGTCAAACCAGGACACATAATGTTGGCACCGCTCATAACAAATTTGATGGCACCTAAGTCTACTTGTTCTTTAGGAAGAAAGAATGGATCTAGAAATAAAAAACAACACACATTTTTAATTTTATTATATACATAAAATAATAAATATTTCTTAATAGCTAATAAATATCTAATACTTTTAAATTTATTAAATAAAATATAATTCAAGGCAAAGACTGTCCTGAAGATATTCCCTCTAACTCTGGTAAATTATACCTGGAAAAAGCCTCTCTTATAAAGATCCTTTCCCTACTCCTCAGGTCAAATCCCTTCTGGTCAAGTTGTCAAGTTATGAACATTGTTATATTCCTATGGTACGCAGGTCGGTGTGGCTCATATATACATGCATACATATAATGATCCTACTTTCTTATGACATCTAAATGTTGTACTATCCATACTATAATTAAGTGTTGATGCGTTTATCTGGTTAATTAAAACGACTGTGTAACTGCTTAAACCAAGTAAGTTGCATTAGCTCCCTATACTTATATTAATCTGTACCTAAATATGTTTTATAAACGCTGAACATACCAGAAATACCTCATTAATTATTTTATATAATATGGTTATACTTTTCTTTGCTTATTATGTATTGAAATATGTAACCCTATATAACATTATATAAAGTTTCATATATTACAACATAGGAACATCTATTTCGTTGTTGTTTTCTTTATTGGTTAATGGTCTCAAATTAGCTATCTTAGTTTCTAAGTTCTTTATTTTTGCTAACGATTTAAAAATCTTTAGAAAAAATGAATAAATAACTGACTGTGATATCCTCCAGAAAGAGCTTGATCTAAACTTCAATGCAGAAAAATTCCAATCCATGTCTTTCACTAGGAATAGAAATATCATTAACTGCACATACTTGATAAATGGTTCAAGTATTAATATTACTACTAGGAAGAAAGACTTAGGTATTCTTTTTATTCCAAATCTTGATTTTCATTTCCACATTGAAACAGTTTGCTAACGTGTGTTTAAGATGCTTGGTTTTGTAAAATAGACATCTACAGAATTTAAGCTTTCTAGTTCTCTTAAAGTTTTACAATGCTCTCTCGTATAACCTCTTTTGAAATATTTTTCTATTATCTGGGATCTTTCTATGACAACTGACTCTTCTCTCATTGAACGGGTCCAGAGACGTTTTTGTTTTTCAGTGTAATTTACCTTGAAAATTCCACATCCATCACATTATTAAAGGCCTGTAATAAATAAACTTGGTCCTCGGTCTCTAGCATATAGAAAAGTAAAAACTAATTTGATATTTTTGCACAAGCTGAATGTCAGATGTATAGATGTTCCTTCTCTTCTTTCTTTAATAGGTACAATTTAAAATTCCCTCTCAATCAACTAGGTCTAATTCTTCCTTTGTTGTCCCATTCCATAATACTAACTACAGTAGAAATAACCCTATACATCGTATGATGCATATGGCTAACAAGCACCTAAACTTCACTTAAAATGTTCTTTTATTATTAGTAGTACTTAAATCTGTGTATTACCATTTTACATTTTTTTGAAACTACCATTTATTAATTTGATCTATATTAATGCTTGTTTAGTTTAATTACTATCTTATATTATTCAAATTTGTTATATATTACTATAGATTTTATTGTTTTATTGAACTCTGAGCCCGTTAATAATTAAAAATATAAATATAAATAAATATAGGACATGGGTATTGAAAAAATTTTAAGAGTTAAAAAATATTATACTTACATTTATGAAGAAGCTTTAGTGTAGGTAGCCAAGGGCCATTTCTATGCCGGAAAAATAAACAGTCACCAGCTGAATTAACAATTATTTCAATATGATCTTGGCTAAACAAAAATAGTTTTATATTAATTAAAAATGTATATTATCAAGTTTATTTTAAGACTTACCATTTAACAATTCTTAATGCATCTTTCTTAGGTAATATTGTATCTATGTACTCCTCAAGTGTTGGATATTGCTCAATAATTTTCGTTCTAATACCTTTTTGGACAGATGATTTTAACTGTTGAATACCTATCACACTATCCTTATCGTCAAATCTGAAAAATTACAATAGTATATCATACTATAAGCAAATAAGTAAGACTTAGAATTTATTATAATGATAATCAAACAAAAAATGTTGATAATTATGTGAACACCAAGTTTATAAATCTGTAAGCAGTAAGCTAATAATAAAAAATGTTAACAAGATTAGATGCATAATGCACACATTTCACAAAAATGTGTAACTAAGACTTTGTGAAATGTATGCCTAAAAATATAAAGTTACAAAGATAAATATTTCCATATAAATAAAACATTTATTTAAAAAGTTTATAATTTTTTTTTTTTTTATAAGTACTATCAAATTAAACAATCAAAAACACACATTTTAGAAAAAAAATTCCAAAAACTCGCTGAAGTGCTAAACTGCAATCATGCCATTATTTTTTACAATTCATACAGTATACAATATTATTATTTGCATTACAATATAAACTGATGACAGCAGCTACAATGTGATGACCAATAGCTATACTTAGTAAACCTTCTTATTATCAATAAAATATTTCAATTTTAATTTTTACACAAAGCTAAAAATGCTTTTCTAAGATTTTTTTTTCCCCACTGATTTTCTTATTACAAACACACATGAGAATATTATTTTTTAATTTCTATTAGGTGGGCTTTTTTTCATATATATTAATAACTATTAATGATCTAATTAAAGTATGATAGTATAAAAATATTTAATTTCATCACACTAATAGAAAAAACCTTATTATTGTTAATAAAACTATCTATTTAAAAGTAGAAAAAAATGTATGTAATTTTAATTAATTTTATATGCAACTATTTGTAATAGGTAAAATATATTTAAAAAAATCTTTCTTCTGATATTTTTATTATAATTCTATATTAGCGTATGTAATCTATATGTTTAAAGGTATTTTTTAAAATAACACTGAGTAAAACAAGTGTTTTCTTTTCTATAAATTAAAAACTACCTATTCATGTTCTTATTAAATATTAAGTTTATCAAAAAAAAAAATTTAAATGATTATACTTACTTCTTAAACATGTTATATGGTTAATGATCCTATTACTCTTGTTTATAAAAAATGTATGTGTAATGTATATAGATTAAAACACACAAAAGAATCTAGAATTTTACGAAAAATTCATAAACCTAGTTTAATAAAAATCGAATAATAATAGTTATATGATATATCGTATTGACTGTTAATACTTAATGATACTTATCACTCGATGCGCCGTGGTGATAAAACCACATTATTAAACTGTTCTCAGTTTTTTTATAGTTGTAGATCACGGACTATATACACACTGTCCGTTTGTAGATAGAACCGTATTCTTAATTCTTATCTCGATGAATAATAGCATTGATAATGGTTATGTGTAAAGGTACCACAACCGCTGTCTAACAGGCAACAGCTACATACCAATATTTACGAGGGCGTCGCTATCATTATTTGACTCACAGATATATATATTTGTGATTTGACTACACTATTTAATACTGTCAAAACTTATCAGTTGGCTGTAAAATAATAAGTAGGTTTTGAGTAATAAATAATAATAATTTAATTCAAAATTCAGCCTTCTATTTCTTAGGTATTGAATACTTATTTTTCATTATTTTAAATTTAATAATTTAACCATTCAACCAAAACAATAACGATAGTCTGCTTAAAATTATTTAGTATTTTTTTCAATGTTTAACTTGTCTACTACCTACAATACTCTATAAGGATTTTTTCTTCAACACATTTGACAAAAATTTACACGTGTATTCACGAAATTGAATATAATTTATAAACATAAGGTGAGTGACCTCTAACTTTAATTTTTCTACATTTCATAATCATTATCATAAACCTAAATCATTTTGAAGTGATATTAAGCGTTTACTATTAACTCAAACACAATTTTTTTTTATCTTCATAACTATAAGATAAATTAAAATCTCATCTTTTTTTCAAACTATTTATGTAAATATCTATTCTAAGTACTAATAAAAAATATTTATTTTTATACAGATAGACTAGAAATTAATAGATAATATAACCCATCTTCAGTCACTTAGTATTAAATGCATATCTAAAGTTTTAACTCTAATACCACTTTTCAATTATTTTTGAAAAATGGTTTTTGCTATAATTCACACCCGAGAATCTAAGACAGGGGTTTGCAATATGCAACTCATGGAGCAAAAATAACAAGACTGCACAAAATATTTTTAATGTTGGTTTTCTGCTCATAATAGATATTTGATTTATTATATAATGTATTTGAAGATTACGATAGTATTCATCGTTTATCACTACTTATAATTACCACAATAACTATTAACTAATATTTGTTTTTCTGACCCTTGAAAATTGTTTTTCAAATTATCTGGACCGCCATAGAATTTAATAGCTGACCTCTGTTCTAAGATAATATGATATCACAGCATGAACGTAATTCTGTATTTTATATTGTATCATGTGCCATATTTACCTAGGTGTAAGCCCAGTAGCTCATTTTTGATATAATTAAATATTATTTTTCATGATCATCTTTTACCTACTTAATATTATATTAGTAATATAATATTACTATTACCATTAGTTATATTCAATAATTTGAAATTAGTAAAATTAGTTAAATAATACTCAAAAAAACATATATTTAGAAAAAATGGTATCTACTATTTGGATGTAACCAATAGGTGTTAAATTTTTTTATTTAAGTTATATTATGATATTTCTTCATTTTTTTACAAACTGATTCATATTATGTAGCTAGTACTGTCTATAGTATTTATATATTATAATTTATAACTATAAAAGACGTCTAAAATTGGTTTTATCCATTTTATAGGAGATGCTAAATTATTCAATGTCAATACTAATTCTTAAGAAAATGGTAATACATTACAAAATTTAAATTGTTAACTACTCTACATCATAGGTGTATGCAAACTTTCTTCACAAATAACGCAATTAGAAAAATAGGACACCTCAGTAAAAAAGAAAAATCACTTAACATATTTCATATTTAGAATAGGATACTTAACATAATTTTATTGAATTTAAAAGAATAAATAATTTATTCAAAAAAAACGATTCTGAGTCATTAACGTTTTTTTACCACATATAGAACTTAATCTACAATCTAAGTGTTTGCAAATATATTACTTAGTTTCTTAATTTCCCTTAGTATCTAAAATCATAAATAGTACTATAGTAGAAGATTTAACAACACGCTGTACAAATAAGCAGTTTGAATTATATTTATTTAAAAAAAAATGTATAATTTCTTAAAGTTTATATTTATAGCATCCAATTATATTTTATACTAATGTTTGTACTAATTTGTCATTATTATAAAAAAATAAAATTATACAGTCCACTGAGATTTTCTGGACCTGCACTATACTTATTATAAATACGAACAAATATTTTAAAACCATTTACTATATACATTTCATTTCTAGTATGTTTTGTAACATAAATAACATTATTATTCTTTAATATTATTTATATTTTTGATATTTTATAGATTCAACGATGACCACAACACTCAAACCTTACCTTTCAGTTGTAAAGCATTCGTTGGATGCTGCCATATGCATAAGCCAGTTCTACTCACAAGTAGTTGAACGTCACAGCAAACCAGAAATAGAAATGCAAACCAACAGGGAGTTAATATTAACTCCAATGTTAATTAGTCGCAATGAGCGAGAACGTGTTTTTATTGAAAGCTCTATAAATTCAATACGGGTGAGTATAGCAATTAAACAATGTGATGAGATTGAGCGATTATTGTGTGATAAATTCACACGGTTCATGATGAAACGAGCAGAAAATTTTTTCATCTTAAGAAGAAAACCAATTGCTGGATATGACATAACTTTCTTAATCACTAATATGCATGTGGAACAAATGTACAGGAATAAACTTATTGACTTCATTATTCGATTTATGGAAGAAATTGACAAAGAGATCAGTGAAATGAAGTTGGCAATTAATGCAAGAGCAAGAATTTGTTCAGAAGAGTTTCTTAAACATTTTTAAAAAAAAAATGTGTAACTATCCAGTGTGCATTATTTTTTATTTTCTACTATAATCATTTTTTTTTTTATATTGTAAAATGTTTAATTGCAAGTTTATTTAAAGTTATTATAAGATTAAAATATAAAATATAGAAAAATTAATTGTCATACATGGTTAATAGTTAAACTACTTAACAGAAAAAATACTTTTAAGTATTGATACATACATTTAAATAGTCTTTTTATATGTTCTATTCATTTTTTATTATTATTATTTTATACTTAGTTCAGTTACAGAAATAATTTGAACTAACATATTGTTATGGTATAAATACTGACTACCATTATTTTACTTTTATACTTAGCCAAATATAACATACTATCTATTTAAATACATAATACATGAATAATACAACATCTAAAATTTACATAATATATTATTTTGTAAAAGTCCTATATGTGTAAATGTTACAAAATAAGCGCTACATGGTCTATATAGCTTAGATAAAATATACAAGTCATAAGTTATATAATATAATTTTAAGCCATGTTTATTAAAATTTAGAATTTAGAATAATAAGATGACAAAATAATTTATAAAAAGTACAAGTTATAATAATTTGATTAAAAAAAAAATAATGGGATTATTAATGATAACTAACGCTCAGAAGTTGATGCATTTTGCATTTTTTGACTTTTTAAGTCACTTTTTGTCATATTTTCTTGTATTTATATTGTTTTGTCAATTAATATCTTTACAAGCATAATTTTTGTTTTACCCAGACTGTAAATAAGTACCTACATCAAATTTATATTTTATATAATAATATTTCATACATGTTGTAAATGAGTTAAATAAAGATAAAGATTCGATAGAATAAGGTAATTTCTAGCTGTCATTTTTACTTTTAACAATATAAAATATGCTTTAATAGTACAATCCCACAATGCAATAATTTTAAATAATGTTTAACGTTATTACTATTCTTTTTTTTAAAAAAAAAAATGAATTTTTACTAATTTTAAACAAATATTTATAATTTTTTAGGTCATCTTTTGTCATTTTTGAGTCATATTTGCATTTATTTTTAGATCACTTTTTAATGTTTTTAAGGTCAACTTCTGAATTCTAATAATAATATTAATAACCGTGATTCATGAAATAATTTTATAGAGTATCTAATTTTTGTAGCCCAGGTATTCACATACCTATTATACAATGGGAGAAACGTGAAATAAAATATAAACTATACAATACTTTAAACCAACGGTCGCCAACCTTTTGGACCTCAGACCAATGAATTCATAACTCTTAATTCTACGGACCACTTATGTATACTAATAAATCTTAAATACCAAATTAAAAAAATTAATAAATCAACGCATATTTTAAAATATATCAAAGGGTTTTTTATGTATAGCAAAAATTATTTAAGTAAGTTTAATTTTTTTTGATTACAAAAAAAAAAAAATTAATAAATAAAAGTTAAAATAAAAACTGGATTCGAAATTCGAATCATTAGTTTTCTTAGAACGTATTGCGATAACGATATTCTTAGGTCTATTTATTTTATAACATGCGATAATAAAAACAATGTTATTACTCGTTTATTCTTATTTGTCGTTAAAAACCTACGTACAGCGACATTATACAATACTTTTGTATATTACTATCATAAACAAAACATTGCAAATAATATTCAAATTTTTCTGTGGACCACCAAATTCTTACCATGGATCACCAGTGGTCCGCGGACCAGCGTTGGCGATTGCTGCTTTAAACGTATTGTACATTTATTGCATTCTTTATTCTTTTTTAAAAAATTTTAAAATGTACCTACTCACTTAAATATATCAATAAACACGATTTATTAAATAATAATAACATTGATTTTATAATTATATACTAATATAATAATGAATGGAGTTAGAATTAACTATTACATATTATTATGTTGATTTAATTATGGGAATTTAGAATATTTTATAAAAAAGGTCTAAATAATATAAAATGTATTTACTATCTTATTTTAAATAATATGAAATATGTAGATATTATGTCATATTCAGCCATGTGTAAATAGTGTTTAAATTTTAAAACAATATAGATAATACATAATTTCTTAGCAAATTCTTTTTATACAGTAATCGGCTTAGAATGATGTAATTTGATGTTTTTATTGTAATAAGATATATTTTATTCTACTCCACAGTGAAGTATGTATAGGTACTGAACGGTATTATGTACTTATTAAAAGAGCAATAGGTGTACATAGGTATTTAATACTTAATAATAAATGTACTAATCAGTTTTTTATTTGTTCTTATTTTAAAATACTCAGTCAAATTAAAATGGCTTTAATATCTATTTAAACAGATAGGGCGATAGGCTAACATTTTGCATACAATTCTTATCTACATATATGTACCTATATTAATTAAGAACACTCCAATTGTACATGGCGATAAAAATATATCTAATAAGTAATATGGTTGTTAGCTAGGTATCATAATGATATGGCGAGAAAGTAGTTTGTAAAAGGTTATGGGTTACTTATAGCCAATGGTTAATAATTTAATATTTACTATGACAGGTAGTCAAAAATATGACAATAATTAGCTGAATTTAGCAATATTAAATTTGCATCTAAAAAATTTCAAGTTCACCATACCACTGATTATAAAATAATAATTTTATAGTTAAACTTGGATGGTTTTTATTTGCCAACAGTTATATTAAACGATATTCCATTCGGTACACTTTCACGTAATATGTCTACAAAAATATACAATTTTTAAACAAAAATAAAACAATAGTATATTTTTAACTAGAACACAAATCTTATAAAATGAATTTAATAGGAAGACTTTCATTTACATATGTAATCAAGCCCAAGATAAGAAAAAAATATTTTTTTCAATTTATAGATCATCAATAAAGCTATTATTTTTATCATTTGAAATCATAAAATAATTAGTAACTGTTTTTTGTCATTTATAATTGACATAATATTAATCATTTTTAAGTTGATGGTTATTTATATAATAAGTATCATACTTTTAATAATTTTTATCAATCTTTAATTCAACAAAAATAAATTACAAAGGTATAGGTTTATATTCGTTTAGTGTACTCTGCCTATATATTGAATAAATTAATCCTTGGTCTTGAGTAGCCATAATCGAGGCTTGTGTGTATAAATATCGGTATTCACATATATTATATATCAAATAAGTATATGTAGTAGGTGTTTAGTTATTGATTTGTTTTAAGAAATATTTACGGATTTATCCGAGTAAAACTTTTCTCATCATATTGCTGTCAGTGCTATCTCCAAGTATGTTTCTGTGATTGACAACACATTTTGATGAACATAGGTACTGTAGCAACGGAATACGGTATTTGCCACAAAAATCCACAAACTTAATGTGTTCTACCCTGTCATCGAAAAATACACCTGAAAAAGTAAATAAAAACGATAGGTACATTAAAATTCTGGTAAATAATTTGTCAACAATGCAAGACTATAATATATATAATTACTATTCATAAATTTAAAAAAATACAAGTTAAAATAGTTTTTAAAAGTTTTTAATAACACTTGGAAAAATTACTGGAAAATTATCTTTAAAAAATACTTTTTTTTTATTTTTATAAGAAATATAGGTACAATCTCTGCCCAAGGGCATAACAATAATATGCGCTACAAACAGCTAGTATATAAAAAAAAGAGGCGAGGGAAGAAATCATTCAATGATCGTATTTCCTTTTGCTTATACTTATATATATTTTATTTTTTATTTTTTTTAAATCTAATTGAATTTTTTTTCTGTTGTTATCATTGGTTATAATTTTTATGTACTAAAATCTCTACACCAATTTCTTTTTTAACACCGTAGTAGATTTCCAGAAATTATGTGAGTGGCTAGATCGGATACAAGTGAGTTAACCTAACCTAAGATATACCTATCAACACTTATTTTATACAATTAAGTACAAAGTTTAACAAAAAAAGATACAATATTAAGTTCAAAATTTTAAACAGTTATGAATACCATACTAGGACATATTTCCATAGAAGTACACAGTTTCCTCGTTATATTTTTTCTATATTTTGATTGCTTATTTTAGAATATTTCCTGCAGTTTTAATTGCATATTTTCAACAAGTTGTGCGAGTATCTACTATGAATAAAAAATCCAAAAAGATACTCTATAAATCACAATCTTATAGATAATTAATAATTGTTAAGACAAAAGTAATACTTAATCCTTTTTATTTAAAAAACAAAAAAAAATTATATAATCAAAATAGAATGCGCGCACGCCAAACAACATGTCAACATTCACAACTAACACTCAACTCACTTAAGAAGAAATAGGTCTTTTGATTCATCTAATTTCTAATACAAAACTACATGTAACAAAAATTGTTTTTCAATATTTTTGTAAATCTCAACCATTGAAGTATAATATAAAATACATTGAAATATATAGTCAAAACAATGTGTAATCCCAACACTATCTTCCTTTCAAATAAGATAATATTCCCCCTCGTTCAATAACGATAACTCTAAATAGCATTCTAATTACAATCAATATCGTTGAATTTCTCCCTAAAAACAAAATTACAATTCAAAATCTTCTTCAAGAAACTATCGTATAATTATCAATTGTACAGTAAGTGGTGATTTAAATGCTAAAAATCTGTTTTATTGCATACCTGCCAACTAATATATCACATTTTCATAACTTTCTTAAAGTAACATATTAACTTGAATACAAAGCTAAAATTACATGACGATATTAACTCTGCAGTCAACACATTAACACCAATAATTCAGGAAGCAGCCTAAAACTCAGTTCTTCCCAATACAATAGACTATTAGCCTAGTATTCTTCTTTTTTCATTAGGAATCTATTAGTTGATATAAGCGATCACTGAAAAACAAGAAAGGCGGTACTGGGCTACTAATGAGCTTGAAAAAGCAATTCTAGTTATTTAATATAAAATTAATGCAACTTTAAAATAAACTTTTTTTTTAAATTATTGTAGGTTAAACCTTGTATTCAATTTTCAAACCTTTAGTATAAAAATTAAAAATTTTACGCATTTTAACTACAAAATAGTTAGCCAGTGTTTGTGATTTTGAGGTAATATGTGTACTTTGAAATAACGTTAGACAATAGAGGCTTTTTTCGTCGGTCTATCCCGCCTATCCCATGCATGATTGAGTAAATTGTTTAAGAGTTAGACTGAGATAAACAAGTGTAGTACCATAATACGTTTTAAAACGCATGTACTTTGTACTTAAAATAGTTGCATATCACATTAAAGCTAAAACTCAATTTATTTTCCTATGGCCCATTAAGACCGAAGTAAGCTTGCAAACATAGTTAAATCACCTGTTTGCAGAATTGTTATTTAAAAACTCGTAGTTTACTGCCATGCCTGATTTGAGGGTTAGTAGTCTCTTATCAAGACAGTTATCAGCCCAGAAAGAATTAACACCCAAACTAACGCGTGCATACGAATTGCATACCAAAAAAAAAAAAAACATAAATTGGAATGTCCGAATTGCATGCCATCAGATTATCAGGTTGATGGATTATTATTTATTATACACTTATTACATTAGGTATAACTTTTTTTTGAACTTTTCTATTTCACAGAGCGTTTCTATACATGCGGTTTTTTTTTAAATTAGAAAAGTTCAAAAAAAAGTTTAAGTTATACCTAATAGAATAAGTGTACAATAAATAAACTATTTCTGATACATGGCATGCAATTTGGACAACCCTCTTTATGAGGTGGCATGCAATTCGGACAGACCCCCTTAAGAAATCGCATACAATTCGGACATTTTTTTTTTTTTTTTGGCATGCAATTCGGATGCAGCCAAACTAACAACGGTCCGCATTAAAACTATCACTTTTTAATTTGTACTACGTTTCGAAAATACGAACACCTAGTCGTTTGTAGTTAGATATAATATATATATATATATATTATTTATTAAACTTTTAAAACAATAGTTACAATGAACAATGTTAAACTGTTTTTATGATTTTTGAATAGTGTTATAACCAATCTTCAAATTATAACCAAGACTAATGACCAATGTTCCGACTTATCTCTGAAATGTCTAGGATATTCCTAGCTAGAAAGTTGACATTTGTAAAGTCTAATGAACTATATACCCTTATATTTATTGTGTAACGATAGTTGAAGCTATAAAAAATTATTTTTGCTGAATTTTGAAATTATGTTACTACATATAATTTAGTGCTTGTTGCAGTGATCCACTGTATTATAAACCATTTTTTCCCGTCAGACGTCAGTGCGCGTGACTTAGATTTAATGGGTATATTAAAATTAGACAATATTTACTAGTTAAATAGATAGCCCTTTCTCATGTATGTTTATATTATTGATTGCTATATAAAATAAGCAGTCCATAAAACACTTATAAATGTTATTTATATTCATCATATAATCGGATAATCCAAAATATAAATATTAAGCTACTAACCTTTACACTTAGGGTTGACACAATGATGTGCGCTCGATAAGTATTCAATCAAATTGTAAGGCAAATCGCGTTCACCATATTGTACATTGTTAATTTTCACTGATCTGGCAGATAGTTCGAGTAAAGATGGTGGATTATGTGTCATATCACTTACAAATCTCACTACTAATGGATTGTCCCTCAGGCTTAACTATAAATTAAACACAATTTATTGAGGTGATTTAATTTTACATTTAAATATTAAATAGATAATTGTTCTAATATACTACACATATTATTACAAATTATATTGTTAATATAAATAGGTATATACATATAATAATATGAAACCTATTATAACTAATTATTAGCATTGAGTATGTCACTGAAATGTTTAATTTTAAATGTTCACGATTTATTACAATTTAATAGTAATTATAGCAGTACATAATATTCATATCATATTTATTTATATTATTGTTATTAATACTTGAATTAATATCAATCTAGCGTAGAACAGTGCATGTAGGTTCATGGTTTAAATATTAAATAGAAGATAACTTAAAATTCGAAATATTTTGAAATTTTCTTTGTGTATAGAAAAATATTATAAATTAGAATAATATACATAAAAGTTTTAAATGCCCACAAATAATTTTATATAACAACAAAATAATTAGAATTGTGATTTTTTATTTAAATATCCTATTTTGTTAATATTTGAACTTCAAATGTCTAAAAAAAAATTAGTGCACAATGCACAAGCATTTTAAATTTCAGTAAAAAATAGCTATAATAGTTTTTTAATACCTATTGAATAGACACACGTGTCTTCACCACTCTATTTTTTAGTTTTTTTTTTTTGCTTTTCATACTCATTTTAATATTGAAATGAGTAACAAAATAATAAGTGAACTTCTATTCATATATCTACCTTTTTTAAGACTCTACGAAGTCCAGTTCTTTTCGAAATATTGAAAAAATAAAAAGGTTAATTAACTGATAAAAACACAATGTGTATATACTTATATGTAAGAATAGGTTATTAGCATGCCGTGCATAAGTGCATTATTAGTACCTTATATTTTATCACGGATACCAATTAAGATAACAATACTACCATACCAATTCCACTTTCAGCTGTATACACTGATTTACTAACCCAAAATAACACACAATTTCACTTCTTTCGACTTCATACTGAAATTTAATTTGATTTCAATTTTAATCACTTATCCACAATTTCCACCTATCTACCTCGTGTGTTGAAATAAAATTACCTCTAAAAAACTTCAAAGGTTAGTTACAACATACTGTAAAAAAATACAAAAATAGCCGTTTCAGTTTTAACTACCCTCTAGATTTTCCGAAAGACTAAAACAGTAAAACGATTTTTAATTTTAACACCTCTATCCTCCATATCAAGATCAATAATCTTACAACTACCATGAAATAGTACAGTGACAAAACTTGCATGATTACGATCACATTTTCAATTACTACAACTACAATCAACACAATGAAAAAAATCATGAATCCCTTGAAAACTATGTCCTAAAATACGTATAAACTTTATCTCAAAAAAATCTAACATGCAGGCAACCTACCTGTATAACCCCATTCAGACCGGTGATACTGAATTGATTCCATGCTACTTTTATGTGTTTGAATTGAGTCCAGCTTATTATCTTAATATCTTTGAATTGAGTCCGATAGATAAAATGTTATGACTACCTATATAGCCAGTGACTCACAATTAGTTAATACTTACTTAATTATCAAATTATTACGAGTGTATGTTTTAATATTCACCCGTAAAATACTTATTTCTCCTCAAACAATTTTTAATATTTTGTTGTATTTTCAAAAATAATAAGATAAGTATGTACTTGAAATTTCCAAATTATTATTTTTAATACCTACATTATAATAAAATTTCCAACAAATTTCAACTCTTTTAAAAATATTTATAAGTATGACAAATTTTCAATTTTTTTTAGTAATTTTTTATAACTGTCGATTAAAAAATATTCTTTAGGTAAAAATTACATTTATTTATTATTATTTTTAATATTTTTAAATTAATTGACTCTTTATTTTTATTATTACAATTAAAGAAAGGGACTCAACTCGAATAACCTAACAATATTGGTCGGACTTAACTCCGATAACCCAAAAATATTTGCGGGACTAAATTCAACGTCAGCCATTTAGGTACTTACAATCTAAAACTTCTTAGGCACTGTCAAACCACATCTGATTTAAAACCAAATCTCTTTCTTTAACTAATTAATATAAGCTTGGTAAAAATACTTGAATTATTAAATTTAATTCAATAAAAAATTAACTCTTATCATTTCATTTAATATAGCCTATACAGTATCACACTAATAATTAAAAACATAATGATTATATACGGTACATCATAACTTTCTTTCTATTCCTCCTTGAAATTGCAGCGTCATTTCTAAATCACACTAACAAACTAATTTCAAAATTACAAAAACAATTAATAGACGTAGATCATAACAGAATCTCAACTCACTGATAAAATATTTTAGGTTATAAACTAAGTATATCCAATCACTCCGATGATACACATATTATTCAGACTCTACAACTCTAACTTACACATTGATTCAAATATATCTTCTAATATCATATCTTTCACATAACATAAGAATCAATCGATTTAAATATTTAATATTAAACTTGTAGAATAAAAAGTGTTAAACCTTAAAACCATATAAACAACTCAATTTTTTAGAAATAATATTATAAATTTTTATCATTAACTTTGCAAATGATACTGTCCAACATCGTATCTCTAAATAATATTCCCCCAAAAAGTCTTTTTTTCACATTTTAATTCATTTAACACCTTTCAAGAAAAATTTTTATACTTTCTACTTATATTTTTTAGTAATATCTACCTCTTCTAACATATTTTCTGTTACAATAAAAATTTTCAATTAGTTTAATAGCAATACCAAACCTTGTAAACTTCTTCATATTTTATCATAGCACAGATCAATAACCTTATTCTAACTTTATTCTCAGAGGTCCTATAAAAACAAGTCTCCAAGCAAATAAGCCACAATGAAAAGTAACAAAGCATTTTTTAATTATGTTTTCAGTTTCCAAATAAACACCGAGTCTAGACTAGTTAGACATTCAGTAATTAAATAGTTCACCCACTGGCCGGTGACCTGACGTCTGTAAACAATGTAATATTTAGGATTAGATTTAGCCTCGATTAGAGTCACTTTATTACCGCTAATAAGACCGTTATATCCTATCCATATTTATAAGATCTATGATTAGTACACAGATTAAAAAATATATCTTGATAATAAAAAGATATTACTATTTGAATTCATTAAATTTAGTTTACTTTTTTTTAAAGTGGTCACCCAGTAGACCATCACTAAAAACTGTCCTGATAGACAACTACAAAATTATTCGAAATATACAATATATACTTTATCTATCTCTGATATTATACTAATTAATTTGATGTATTTTATTTTAAAACATACTCAATATAAAACTTATTTTTCAACTCGGTACTTATGATAATTATACACCGAGTATCTAATTCGTTCTTTATAAGTTATTTGGTTTGAGTACTCACTCAATCAATTAAAACGAAGAAGAGTGAAGACCGTGACATTGCTCGGGCAGCCCACATTAATAGATAATAGACCAAAGAAGGCCAAGAATATATTTTAAACATAAATTAATATGAATAAACCAAAACTTTTTTTATGGTATTTACCTCTGTGAGGCACTTCAACGATATGATTTCTATAGGTAGTGTACGAAGTCTGTTTTTATGTAACATCAACGATTTTAGATGTTTGAGATTGGCAATGGCTGGTGGCAAACTCTCCAGTGAGTTATCGCTCAAATTAAGCGCTTTCAAATTATCCAACATACCCAAAGTCACAGGTACATCTGACAAATGATTTCCACCCAAACACAAGAACTTCAACCTAAAATAAAATATTGTATTATAAACTTATTAAATACTTAATGGCAAGCTAGTAGGTACATATTACAAATCACAATTGTACAAAATTATAGTTATTTATTTAATTTCTTGTTCATTTCTTGTTCTAAATGTATGTATAAGTTATTTTGATTATAAAAATTAAAAAAGAAAATTATTTATTCTGTCAAGTATTATCCAGTCGAATTCGCTTATAACGATGCCGTTTACAACAATATTCCGAGTAAAGTGATTCCACGCAATGTATTTGGTTGGTTTAATATCTTATGTGTTGTTACATTTTATAGTCCGGATATAACGATCAGATTTTCTTGGTTCCTTGAAGATCGTAATAAGTGAATTTGACTGTATTTTAGAATATTGAAGTAAATAATTTTTGCAAGTTTATTATACTATACATTTAACTTGTAAGCTATATTTTAACATCCACCAAAAGATAAATCTGCCAAAATAGAGCAATATTTGTATAACCACCTAAAATGCATAGAAATAACAGAAAAAAACATGATCGAAATGTTGTCGTGCTTTAACAACCGACCCAAACGTGACAACCGGTCGATTATACGCTTGTTAAAGGTTCCTGTACGTAAAAATGGCCCTTGATTCACACCAATTTCAGATACAAGTATAAGGGAGTCAATCATCCCCACCCAAAATAATTATTCATGATTATAAATTGGTAAACACGTAGGTAGAAATTTCATCTAGAGGGGGGTAATCAGCAACTAATATTCAAGATATGTTTAATGTTAATTTTTAAATTTTCAAACACATAAATTTCTAATTATACTATACTATTTATTATAAATTATAATTAATGAGATAAATCAAAAGACAAAAAAGAAATTCACGATATTATATTTTGTATTTTAAATCAGTGCAAATCGCGTCGATTTTCATCAAATCTATTTAATATTGCCTCTTGAATTTTTTTTTTAAGGATTAATATTTTTGTGTACACTCAACATAAAAAAAGCTGAAACATATATGTCAAAGCAAACTTTTATTAAGTTACATTAATATGGTAAATTGAAAATTTTCTTTTATTTTTAAACGTTAAATAACATACCATACTATTCAAATGAATTTCTATTATAGTATTATTTAACCTAATCTAACCTAACCTATGCTCTTGTATATTGATGTGTGTGTGTATAAGTTATTAAAATTATCATATGATGTAAATAAAGAAACATAAATTTACAAAAGTAGGTACAATATCAAATTATTAATTTTTAAGTAATAATTTATAATACGTACTTTATATTTATGTTATAATAATTATTAGATTAAGTGTTAATAACATTCTATATTATAAAAGTATATATTTTAAATTTAGACAGTGATATGAACGGTATTATTGACAATATATTTTTTTATTAATAATCCAGGATATTTTTTATATAAATTTTTAGTATAAAATATTATAGGCCAAAGGCCAAAAATTGAGAGAATAAAGCCCTTTATAGTTTATACCCATTGATTGTCATCATGGCCCCAAATAAATTGTTGCTGATAGACGATGTGGCCTGAAGAAGTAATGCGAAAGCTTTTTTTTTCTCAGTTCACAATTTAAAAAGAAGTAAAATTTATAATTTGTTATATGTACTTTATATAAATATATTATACACAAATAATAATTACTAAACTAATGTTAATCTTGTTAAGCAGTACCACGATATTATTGGCAATATAGTTTTTATTTAAAATTCGATTAAATTTCTTATCACACCCACTGACGACAACACAATATTTCGAAATTTAATTGTTTGAAAATAAATTTCTAATTATATTTTTTAATATCTATAAGTTAGGTTAGGTAATAAAATAAAATTGCATTTCACTTTTGACGCATTGATTTTTTATATTATTGGTTGAAACTCGAATAATTTCTTTATAAATTTACAGTATAAAATTAAAAAAGAATATAATATTGTATGACATAAAAGCTATTTAATATGTATTATACAACTGATTGAATGCTCCGCAACCTAATCACTACCTACCCAACCCATTGAGGAATACTTTGAAACCACGCCTGACACTTGGGACATAATTTTGTAATTATTTATCACATAAAGAATAAAATATTATATAATATGAATGTATAAACACAATTTTACGAACTATTACCTACATTTATTTCATTTACGTCAGCCTATCAAATGAGTGCGTTATTTAATTTTTATTTTAATAAATAATACCTCTCAACGCTAACGGTCTGGTTTTTTCTCTGTTTGTCTACAATTCTACCAGTTCCACTAAGATTCACTCTGTAACTGTGGACCTCAACCGTATTTTAATTTTTCGTCCTAACTGAAGTTAGAACTAACATGAATATTTCAGCTGTTTTTCACTGGTGATGATTTTATAATTAAATTGAATTCTAGTCTGACATCATTTATAACTATACAAATAAGTATTCGAAAATCAAAAGATTATATTGATAATAATAATAACGTTGTATACTAACAAATAACAATAAATTGCAATTAATTTATATGCCGATAGGACTACACGCGAGAATAACAACTGAAGAACTTTGGTCTGACAAAAGGCCAAGGTCAGTGACTTAAAAATATTTGTCTCTGGTTTCGTTGACGTTATGGTTAGATATTCTCATTGAACCATACACAATTACATTTATAACAAAACCTACAAGCGAATTAAAATACGTATAATCGAATTAGACCTTTATACACTACAACTTTTCTTCTATAAATGTCAAAAATTCTAATCATCCCACTAGATTAATACTGTATAACTGTATATATGTATATATATATATATATATATACACACATTAAACATTCTTAAAAAGACTCAAATATATTATGGAGATGTGTGTCAAATCGCAGAATTTACATTAAGCTATAAAAAAAAAAAATTTAAAAACTCAAATCGGGATACCTACATAATATATCGATACCTATCAAATCCTGTAACTAATGTACGTGCAGTTACTTCGAGGTACTATCACCACTACGACCAATGCGCGCCGCTCCCAAATATAACTATACCTACCTATTGCTCGTATAACTGCATTTCTTATGCAATTTTAAATACGCAATTCGGTTGTTATCAGAAATATTGAGCATCGCGACCAGCACGTGACCAATAAACAAGCACGAAAAAATCACGCAACCCAAAAACTTCAATAATTACGATAAGTAATAACAATGTGCACACGCCAATATCTCGTAAAACAGGTTGGGCGTACGACAGGTACCTGATGAGTTTGTTGATGTCTTTGGGTATCTCGACCAGATTGTTGCTGCCCATGTACAGGTACTCGAGAGTGGTGACCGACAGCAGCTGTTGGGGAAAGTGCGACAACCGGTTGCCGCTGATGTTGAGCACCTTGATGTGTGCGGCGCAGCCGAACTCCTTGGGGAACCCGTCGTCGTCGATCAGATTGTTCTTGGCGACCAGCGTGGTGAGCGGCAACCGCGCCACGAAGTCGGGCACGTGCGTCAGCCGGTTGTTGCTGATGTCGAGCACGCGGAGGTGCTGGAACCGGTTGATGGCCGGCGGCAGGGACAGCATGGCGTTGTGGTTGAGGAGCATCGTGTCGATGCCGTCCGGCCGGCTGCGCTCGCACATGTCGACCAAATGCTTTTGGATGGTGTCGCCGTCCAGCAGCAGGTAGTTTAGGTCCATCGTCTTGACGGACGACCCGTCGTCGATCGGCGCGTCGCTGTCGCTGCTCTCCGACGTCGACCCGTAATACCCGTTAAACATGATCGCCAATAACAACAGTTATTGTATAATATTTATTCAATGTTTATAGATTTTATTCGATGTGGGTGTACGCGTACCGGCCACTGCTTCGATGCGTGATAGAGTTTCGTGTATTTAGGGTACCGTTCACGAACGCTGCGGCGTGTCGTCTGGTCGTCTGCAAAATCACAAAAATGACGATGAAAATTAATATGGAGACAGGAAGAAATCAAACGATCGGCTGCTGCGTTCACAGGGCGCCTACCTATGCATAAGCGTGTGTATCGAATATCGCGTAATACGGCAGCAGATGACCGTGACAAATTTATTATTATAATATAGACCTACCGCGCGGCCGTTGTGCGTAGGTAGGTACGGTGCGCGCGCGCGCTATTCACTCGACTACGGTGAACAGGAAAATAAAAGTTAACTGACGGCGCGGCGGCCAGTTATACGAACGCGACGGTGTGCGTACCGAACACACTCGATAACACGCCGATAAGCCGTATTTTGAATACGCGTTGGCGGGAGGAGCTGCGGTAGGCATTAGGCGGCTGCTGATCTGGGTTTAACTGCGTGATAGAGTGTTAAATTAAATTATACAAATCGTCGACTGTACACACATAGGTATGAACCCACTACTACTGTTGGTATTATTATTATTATTATTATTATTATCATCATTATTATTATTATTATTATTATTATTATTATTGGGCACCGTTATTACTGTAATCCCATGATTATATAATTAATATTAATTCGCACTTTGTCTGCGCGCCTGTACACAATCGTACGAGATACACTCAGTCGGTATAGTTGGTACCTGCCCGCAATAGTAAATGTATAATAAAATAAAAAACCGTATTACGCGCAAATAGGTGATCTAAAAAACGCACGCAGCAGCGTTACGTCGCGCGCGTTTAATGGGCGGTACTACCGTGAAGCAAGTAGACGCGCGTAGTATACGTCAAACATTACAAAGGTGATAGACTACACAAACGCATACTAATTAATAAACAATAACTATTTTCAATCACTACAATACCTACATAAAACACGCGATGTTACTATGAGTCATCTGCGCCGGTAGCTTCTTCGATTTTATCATTAGGTACTGTATGTCCGCGCGTCGTTACCATTTGACTTACTACTAACGTAAACACTAATACAACTTTAAAATTAAAAATAATAGAGTTGTACATACTCTGCGTCAAAATTTAGACCCCCTGTACTTGTCATAAACAAAGATTTTAACAATAAATCAATAGAGTCGTTGAATAATGTAATTTTTATTATAACATTATATGTATAAATGATTCAGTGTACTTTAAACACGCAGTGTATTGCACAATACCTACTTATCAAATCTAATCTAGAAACTAGGTGTTTAAATCTCATCATTAATCTGTTTTATATCATTTTTAAGAGAAAATATACAATCCACATCGTGGACATAATAAGAATATGTGGGTTAAGAAAACAAAAGAATTATTTATCTAATCGAAAATAATTAAAAGCTATTACAAGCGGGTATTACATACACGATAATTTATGTGTTTAATTAATGGTTAACCTGCTAATTAAAATATTATTTGATACAAAATAAATATATCAACATTTTAAAAATTACAAATTCATTTCAACGAGTTCTTAAAAAAGTCGAACTTTTGTTCAACAATCCAATCACTCTCCTGTCTCTTGTGGGAACTATGTCGTACAAGTACGAGTTACCTAATTCATCAAAATAAAATTATATTCATATTCAGCTTGGATAAATAAATATATGTAATAATAGATAGGTAAGTAATAACTTATATTATAATTACTATAACTTATCAAGATGAAATTACACTTTCACAATTTATTTTTGATGTTTTTATCTCTAATTTGTTCAACAATTATTATTATTGACTATTGTATCATTTGTATTATATTATACTATAATTACTCAAACAAACGTATAATACATATTAGTATATTACGTATACAATTTTAAGTTATATTTACCTTTATTTTTAGATGTGTCACTAAAAGTTTACGCTTAACGAGTATAAATTTTCTAACAACTGGCAACTCTGTGTAAGTGTCATAAGTGAACCTTGTTTTATCGAGAGTACCTGCCTGTACCTTGGTTAAAATTACACTATAAACTCTCTTAAGTAAACACCTAATCGTTAGTTTCTTCTTTAAGTTAGTAGCACAGTCATAACAGACGTGCTTAAAATGTATCTAAGTATCCAAGAAATATATAAGCCATTGTTGAAACATTCTTTGACTCTTCAATTGTATTGAACGTTATTTGCTGATGGAGCTTTTTTTTCATTTTTTCGCTAGAAAAATTCTTTTGTCTATACTCTTACAGCATATTTTATTAATGATTATTTTACTTATACAAAATTTTGAACTTGTTTTGATGGAAATTATTAGACATGTTGAATACCAACACCTATATTTGAGCTTTATAACATGGGTGCCAACTTTTAAAGTGTAAGATAATTTTTTTATCGTCAAACCTCTTATTATTATTGTAGTAAATTAGTTAATGTACAATATGTATTATATATATATTGGGGTTAAAGATTATATAATTGATATTTCAATAAATTAAAAAAATTGGAAAATTTAAGATAGGAAATAGCTTTTGTCATACATATTAATAATAATCAACTAGGCGTAGCGATGCTAAGTACACAAATGTCGATTATAAAATTTTGTTTGTCCAAAGAGCAGGCACAAGATTCTGCATTTTCGCATATCTTTGAAACATTTTGTTTCGGTTCTAATTGCTCGAGACTGATTCGAGTAGAGTCCGATACACCCACGATAGACGTAAGCGTAGGTATCATTGACTGATATATTAACACACTTAATCCCAGAGTAGTAAGTCACGCAGTAGTTTTCCAGTTTTCGTAACTTAATGTCTTACAAGATATAGTGACAACTGACCAAAACAAACAGTTTAGATAGAACTATTCTGGTCTTTTGAACTACGTTTAAATTTCAGCACATTAGAATATCACTGAATAGGTACATCACAAACTAGCAACTTCGTCGACCGTTGAAAGCGGTAGGTATTGAGCTCCAGGAAGTGCGAACAGTAGACGAATAATTTACCAATAATCCTTTACTTTGAACTTCAGAGAGTAATCAGAAAGAGATTAATATGATTAATGTGTTCGTTGGTAGTGTTGGTGTATAGATAGGTACGACATTACTGTAGTTACTATAGGCGAGCTCTTTCATTCCATTAAGCTGGAGTCCTGAGTATAATTTTTAGAAACCACACAGCTGTGTTCAAAGAACTTTATAAACTGAATCAAATTTGAATAAGTAAATGTATTCTAAATAATTTTTATAATTTTTTAAATATTTCGAATATTTAGATTGTTAGGTATGACAATTTCAGGACTAAAAAGACATGTGCTTCAGTGTTACACTAGCATACTTTAAATTTATTGATATCTATATAATCATGTTATATTCATATAGGATGCCGTAGGGGCGAAGTGGCACACCAGACAACTGGGACAAAACCCGGTGACTTGGCTTGCTTATATAAGAAAGGGACGGGTCCTATAGTGTGTTAAAAAAAATTATATTTTGTTATTTTTAGTTGCCTGTAACGAAAACAAATTTATGGTGTGAACCACGAATTAATATATTTCAGTTCGTGATCTGAACAACAAATAGTAAATGTAAATAGATATATACGCAATAACTCGATTCCTTGCGTAATATGTCATCTTATTATAATATTTAATATTATAAGTTACCTATAACGATAAGCCAGTAAACCATATAATCTATAAATAGTTATTCAGATGGGTTATACGTAATATTATATTTGTGATTAACACAATAATACTTAATTAAAATAACAAAATAAACGATTATTATTGTGAATAACGTCATACGTTTGTCATTTGTATTTTCATTTAACAATACCATAAGGCAAACACTGAAACATCATAGATTATGTTTGTATAAATTGTGATAATATGGAATAAATCCATAAGAATTGTCCTTGTAAAATATTATTAAATTTCCTAAAACATGAAGCTAAAGTATTTAATAAATATGTATAAATTGTTATAGTCCTATATTTGTGTAAATATAAAATAATACCTGTATACAATATTATAAGATTACTATTAGAGAGTTTTATGGTTCACATACTTCATATAGGTAATGGTCTAACACTTTTATAATTAATACTATTTTATAATAGAAGCTAGGGAGAATGTAAAATGTGTATTATAATAAACTGGAAATAACTTCTACTATTATGTAGGCTAAATAAATTGTTTTATACTTCCCCCAGTTAAAAAATGGTTAGTACACATCTACCAATAAAACAAGAAATGGTAAAAAATTAAATTTAAAAAAAAATAGCCTTTAAATAAATTTATGTGGCCTAAAAATACCTGTTTGCCTGGTAAGAATTATTAAACCACTACGCCCTTGTAGGATGAATTTTATCTTGGTAAGAGTATTGTGGTAGAGTATAATTTGAAATTAAGCGATTGGTCAAAAGATCTGAGACACATTTAACTGGTACCAATGAATGGACTAAATAAATCTGCCATATTAAGATTTCTAGTCTAGAAATTTGCAATTCACACATGTAAATTATAAGAAAGGTAATGGAAAATGGTATATCACATCAATCTAAGATGTGGGGACACCATAAATAAGGGAGTCCATTAAACAACATATTCAGATATATCATAGTCATCCAATCCTGAATAACTTCACAGCCCTAAGACTATTGTACCATAACATTTAAACATGTATTTTTATTCAATTAACAATTTTTTTATTTTAACTTATGAAATTTTTTTAAATAATCAAACCATACTATCATACAACTTAATAACTCAATAGCTAGTAGCGTCGTAGCACATAAAAAATAATATTTAATTTTAATTATTTATTTTAAATTTTCTTAAAATACATATTTTTAATAGTAACTTGTTAGCTTACATTTCTTTAAATTAAGGATATTGGATAAAATAAATTAATACTTTTAAATTTAAAAAAATTATTTATTTACTAATTTAATATTTTAATATTAATCATCAATTCCACTCAAAAAATAATGTAATACATATTCATCTTCTTCAATTGAGCAATGTAATAGCAGTCCTTCTACTACATGACATAATATTTTTGATAAGTTTAATGTTTCACAATTTAAAAATTGTGAAAACTTTTTAATATCAACTATGGTAGAATATTTATTTTCTTTATCTGAAATCAATGCACACATATTATTTTAGTTTAATAATGAATACACTTAAGAAGTTATAAATTACAATATTATACTACAAAAACAAAATACTTATTCCTCATATAATTATTTGAAACATAAAGTACCTATGTGTAAAGGAGGTAATTTATTAAACCAATGGACATTATTGTTATTTGTTTGTGTAAGTATAAATAGGTAGTATACCTATAATCATTTTAAATGAGAAAAGTTTTCATCACAAACCAGTGAAGCTAATGATATAGTACTTTGCTAATTATGCTAATCAGGGAATGTGGATTAAACTAGATGGTTTATATGCAGTTTATTAGTTTTAGAACACTTACTTTATGATTATACCTTTGTTGCTTACCATTCAAATAAACAAAATATATAGGATAAAATAAATTATTTCCAGTAAATTTTATATGTAAAGATTTTACATAAAATTATCAATATTTGTCCAATCAACAAATGGTGAGTGTTTTAATGTTAAATAAGTTTATTTGTATACTTAATAAATATAAGTATTTTATGGTATAATTCTATATAATATATAGGTATATATTATATCAGGTCCGTATTCAGAGCAGAGCAAGAGGGCATGGACCAGGGACACAATTCTAAGAGGGATGTAAATTTCAGTACTACTTTTGTAATGATTGTTTTATGTAATATATTTTAAAAAATGTATATTTATTTTAACAATTTACTACAGTAAATACTCAATCTATTTTTATCATACAAAAATTATTTATGTTAAGGCTGTTGGAACACAAAATTTGCAATATTGGCAATTTATCATACAATGTGGAATATCTAATATATTATACGTATAATTAATAAATGGATAATTTTCTCATAAAATAGGTAATAACCAATACGAAATGTACCAGCACGGGACCTGTTATTTGGAAAGTACCGCTAGTTGATTATTATTTTTATCGTTTCGATTATGTATTGTTAGTCATTTTTTGTTTTAATTTATTCATGGTTTTTTTTTTTTATTGGAGATCATGTAATCCATTTAAAATACATTTAAAGTTATTAACAGAAACGTAAAAAAAAAAAATGTTTTGAAAAAAAATTACATATTTTTATAATATATTAATTGTTTATATTTTAAAGTCATATAAATACAAATAGCTATTATTAAAGTTTATAAGCTATTACCTAGTATACTATGTATTTATATATGTCTTATGTATCTCAAATGGTTTTTTTAAACAAATGCAAATTTCTCATTTAGAAGAAGGGAGGCAAATACAGTAATTTGTTAGGATTACCACTAAACTTCAATACAACTCTATAACATATTTATTTAAATATATAAATAAACACTATAATTTTAATAATTAAAATAACTAAACATAAATTATTTTAAAGATTAATAGTTTTAATTATTACCATCAAAAATAAAAATTTATAGCTGATTATTTAGTAAATATTTAAATTCAAGTTTGTATGGTATGGTAAAATAATAAATAAAAAATACTTATAAAAAAATTCATGGGTAATGAAATGTATACTTTAAATGTATTTAAATTATACATCTATACACACATAATTGTAATAATGTAATTTTTAATGTTTAAAACTCACCAGTTGAATTTTGTACATTAACTATCTCAAGACCCATAAAATGTGTGTCGACTGTGGCTGATAAATTTGAAACTCCTAAAACCATTTTTCCAGAAGCATCCAATGATACCATTAACCTGGGACTAATACGTTTCATCTTATCAACGATATGCCGTACAACTCGTATTGAAGGCATAACAGCACTAATCTAAATTAAATTACATATTTAATAAATGTCTATAATTCTAAGAGTTTTATTTCAAAAGTAACACCCAAAATATTGTTAATATTGTCTTGATTGTTTTAAATCTAAAATATGTAATGGTCAACAAAATTAATTAAAACAAGTAAATACTATTACATTATGAGCAGGTATGGTTGGTTCCTTATATTCTGACCAATCTTTTGGGAGTATAACAGTAACTGGAATATCATGAGTACACAACTGTTTACTAGATACTTGAGACTCCTAAAATGTGAATAGTCTATTGTTAATTTTTATCAAAAAATATTAGTACTATATCATAGATTAAATATACTATCATAATATAACATATTACTAAATATAAGTAATGCCTTGACAAAAGATGAATTTGATGTGTTGTGCACTTGTGCATTTGAATTCCAGAAATTTGTAGAATTTCAAATAAATCTGAACACAAAATATTTGTTTCTTATTTTAATAAGTTCAAATCTAGACTTAACTAAGGAAAATAACATCCCATAACATATATTTATTATAAAGAAATTAAAGTAACTATGAAGATAAAACTATTTAAGTATAAAATAGTAGTTAGAGTTAAAGCTTTAAGAATTCTTCAACTTATAGCCTCCTATGATTTAATTATGATTTTTTTCAAAATTCTGCTACTTTAGTCTCAATGAAAAATGTTTATCAAAGTTGAAATTTATAAATATATAAAAACGATCTACTATGATTTGTTAACAGATAGAAAATTCAGAGTTAAATAACAGAAAAAGTTTTAGCAAATATAATTAACATTGATGAAGTAATAGAAGTTTATTTTAATATCAAATACTCTAATCAAATGTATTAGAAAAATGTTTGATGTTTAAGTATATATATACTATAATAAATTATTATACAATTTTATATTTAGAAAATTTTTTCTTAATTATTATTCTTAACAATATTTATTTATTTAACACTCAACATTAAACATTTAAAAATAATATCAAACAAATGACTGAACTATTTTACTATCATTGATTTAATTGTATGCTAACCTACAGATAAAATAAATACAAATTTTTATAAAATACTTCGAAGAATAACTTTAGATGATAAATTATATCGTTAAAATTTAGTCAAATAACTTTATTGTAAACAAATTTTATATAGCTAGTAATGTAAGAGCGTAACAGGATTTAAATACTAATTTTCATATTTCTTAAAGTTGGCTGAGCTAGTTAATATCAAATTAAGGTTATAGGTATTGAGTGAAAAACAAATAGGTGGCCCCCATCAATTAATAATTTGTAACATCATTGTTTATGTAGATATTTAATCTATGATCATATTATTTATAAACATAATAACCAGATCCAATTCAATAGTTAGACAAGGAGATAGTTTATCAGTAAGTTTCATCTTTAGAGTTTTCAAGTTTGTTTGTTTTGCTGAACTCAATGAAGATGCAAGCATATCTAAAAGAAAAAAAAATGTATTAATTTATACCAAACTAATAATTATGTAGTGTCCAAAAATTCTAAATATTCTCAAACAATAATAAAAGCAACCTTATGTTGACATTTGATAAGTTTTTAATCTTTTTTACTTTGTTTATTAGATTTTTGAATAGAAACAATTGAATTTTACTGCGATTCCCGTGGTTCTGGCAAAAAAACTAAAATTTAAACCCATTTCTTTTCAATTCAGTATGCGATTGGGAGAATTTAAAAATATTTTTCTTTCTTCAAAAAGTTACTTGTATAGTTGCACATAGTAGAAAATAGAGTTCTAGTATTCGAAAGGTAATAAAGTGCATAATAGTACTCAAGAGTCAAGTTAATCATTTTTGGGTAAAAATATATATAATCACTGTGGATATATAAAGTATTAAAGATTGAATGATAAATATATGAACAGTTATTGATTTAATTCAAAAATATTGAGTAAAATAGGCAATTTTTAGACAAAATATGTATGTATAAGTAAATATTTAAGAATAAGTGAAATAAATTTAAGTGCTTGACTTAAAAAAGAATTTTTGAATACTTGTAAGTATAAATATATCTATGTACTATATAAAAACTATGTATTTTTATAAAAATCTAAGCTTTATTCAGGACGGATTGAGACTTTTCGCCACCTAAATTTAAAATTTCTATCGGCCCAATCATAGGGGGAGATTTTATTGTATTATATATGATAAGCAACAAATATTTCAAACCTAATATTCAATAATTTGAGGGTTTTTGAAAATATTCACTTGAAATCGGTGTGCATTATTTCATGATAGTTTCTCTATAACAAGTTTACAAATTACCCAACATAAATTGCATTAAGTTACCTAAAATAAAATCAGAAGCAATTTTTTTCACTTATCTTTATACTGTATATCAAAAAACATACGAAATATAAATATAAATACATATATTTATAAAATGCCTAAATTTGGTTTATCATTAATAAGTAAGTTAATAACTGGATATATGCAACAATATATATGCTAATGCATTATATCTCTATTTTCAAATAAAAGCTTTTAGTTTAGGCTTAATCATCATCATGACCTGCCCAAATTTTAGATGGCCTACCAAAATTTTTTCGGTAACTTCGCCAGTTCAATCTGGGCCAGGCCTTATTTAATATATCCATGATAAATATCTTTATGAGGCAGACTAATTAGAATGTATGGTGCAGTAGAATAGATTTAAAGTAACATTTCAATACTACTTTAAATAGTAAAATTAGAATAATATTATTTTCCCATTTAATTAAACTTATCACTAAATACATCAACTATAATATAATACATACCAATTGGTAAACTGAATAAAATTTCATTAGATTCTGTTTCACCAATCATATCATAGTCCTTAAAAAATGATTGCTGGTCTAATACAGACCAAACACTAATTTGATTACTGCTTGATTCATTTGAAGCAATTAAGTATAATTTAGTAGAACTTAGTCTCAAAACTACATTTCTACATAATTTGGATAAAATAATAACAATACCTATGTTTAAAAAAAAAAATATTGAACACTTAAAAATAAAAACAATATGATATTTTATATTTACTGTAGAACTGTTTCATGCAATGTGAATCAATGATTTTTCCACGAAACTTCATTATTTTATTCAAAAGTTAGAGATCTTTTTATGCTTATAATTAAAAAAAAAAAAACATGTTATGTAGTAATACTCAGTCTTATGCATTAAAATAAAATATTGAAATAGGTGATAATGGACCATGGGCATACAAAAATAATAATTAAATTAGAACTTAGGTGGTTCGCAGATTGAATTCAAATGTATTCTGTAACTATCAAATTTTAACTCTCGTTTTTTCGAATTCCCGCGAATTAACACTGATATAGCGATTATTCACATTATAATGTATCTGTGAAAGCGCTGAATTTAGTGCTTGACAATTGGTAGATGGTATAGACGTATAGTTACTCTGGTCTCTGACGGGTTATCAACGTGAAAGATAATATTTTAATTTTGTTATCATTGATCAGCTGTTTTACTTGGATCTTTCAAAGCATTATTATTTATTAACTCCACCTATAAAATAAAATACTATAGTATTATTATAGTGTATGTATACTGTATTAGGATATTGTGTATTTCTGTTTGTGTACGCACTATACTGTTTAGTGCTCACTGCCACACTGCAGTACACTAACACGTAAAATCGGCAGCAGATTTCTAAAATTGTAGGGAGCTCGCTAAAGATAAATTGGTTCTATAAGTTCGACATGTTATTTAACAGTTATACAATTGTACAGTTTTAAAATCTTATTTTCTATTACATTAATATTTAAAACAGTAAGTCATTCATCATGTCGGGAAAAGACAAATTGCCAATATTTCCATCTCGTGGGTGAGTAAATTAACTGATAAGATATCGAATTTGGGCGTTGTCTGTTGAGGCATTGCTTAAATATAATTTTTAATTTATATTTAATTAATAGCTGAAGCAACAGATATTCGTTATTTTTCCTAATCTATACGAATTTAATAAAGCTATAGATATTATATAGCTTTTACAATAGAATTCATTGTAAAATAATAATATTGATCATTGATTGTTGTCTATTGATACATTTGATAGGCAATGTGTTAAAAAGAAAGGAAACTAATCTTAAAGTTCATGTTCCTTTTATGACATTATGTGCTGTACTGCTGTTCTTACAACATAATTATAATTTTAAAATTTTGTTTTAGTGCTCAAACAATGATGAAAGGGCGTCTTATGGGAGCACAAAAAGGTCATAGTTTGTTAAAAAAAAAAGCTGATGCTTTACAAATGAGATTTCGTTTGATTCTTAGTAAAATTATTCAGGTACAATTAAATGTTATTCATACTCGTTTTTGAACTAAAAACTTGTAAATATTAAACAACTATCTTATGTGTAGACAAAAACATTGATGGGTGAAGTAATGAAAGAAGCAGCATTTTCTTTAGCCGAAGCAAAATTTACTACTGGTGATTTTAATCAAGTTGTCTTGCAAAATGTAACTAAAGCTCAAATAAAAATACGCACTAAAAAAGATAATGTTGCTGGTAATAAAAAAATATTTGTATTTTATTTTAACACTTTATTAATAAGTGTATTTAATGTAGGTGTGACATTGCCTGTTTTTGAAAGTTACCAGGATGGTACAGACACTTATGAATTAGCGGGTTTAGCTAGAGGAGGTCAACAGTTGGCTAAACTTAAGAAAAATTATCAAACTGCAATTAAACTCTTGGTTGAATTAGCATCATTGCAAACATCTTTTGTTACTCTGGATGATGTTATTAAAATAACAAATAGAAGAGTCAATGCTATTGAACATGTTATCATACCCAGAATTGAAAAAACACTTGCGTACATTATTTCTGAGCTTGACGAATTAGAGCGAGAAGAATTTTACAGGTTAAAGAAGATTCAAGATAAGAAGAAAATTGCCAATAAAAAGAAAGAACAACTTAAGAAAGACATGAAAGAAGCTGATTATGGTAACATGTTGGATGAAGGAG